AACTCAAAGGAGAGATAGATATTGAAAGGCAAAGAGAAGAGATCAAAGCGCAATTTTCAAATTTTTAAAATCATAATTCTAATAAAAATAGAAATCAGGTGCCATCATTTTAATTAACTCATAAGTGAGAAAAAGAGCAGATAACAAAATTGGCTCAAAAACAGTAAAAAAAATACAACTCTAAAATAAGACTTCTAAGTTAATTTTCTACAGGTCAATAAAAGCATAATAAAGTTTTATTTACTTAAGTCAGATTATTTTCAGATAATGTAATAGCATGATATTAAAAAGAAATGGAATTTGTTTTTGCCTCATTTCCATGTTTCAGGCACTTTTCTCAACAAAGGCTTTTTTTAGGTAATATTGCACCTGATGACTGCAGAGGGAGTAGAAGTTGTCCAGTAAGAATGGTAAAGGGAAAGGCAACAAGTGTTCCAGGAATAGGCACAGTGCATAAACCCACTTCACTTCAATCGCCCACTGCCACTGTCAGTCCTTGACCTTCATCCAATTAAAACTATAATGAGGTATCACCTCACACCTGTCAAATGGCTACTATCAATAAATCAACAAATAACAATTGTAGGCCATGAGGTGAAGAAAAGGGAACCCTAGTACACTGTTGGTGGGAATGTAGACTGGTACAGCCACTGTGAAAAACAGTATGGAGTTTCCTCAAAAAATTAAAAATGGAACTGCCTTTTGGCCCAATGATTCCACTTCTGGATATATATCCTAAGAATCCCAAACACCAATCAGAAAGAATATATGTACCCCTTGTTCATAGTAGCCTTATTTACAGTAGACAAGATCTGGACACAGCCCAAGTGTTCATCAATAGATGAGTGGATAAAAAAGCTGTGGGACATTTACACAATGGAACACTACATGGCTATAAAAACAAAGGAACTCTTAAGGTTTGTGACAGCATGGAGGGACCTGGTCATTATTATTCTAAGATCTGAGTGAAATAAGCCAGTCAGAGAAAGGTAAATACCACATGATCTCACTAACATATGGAATCTAATAAACCAAAATAAATGGACAAACAAAATAGGACTAGAGGCATGGATACATGTAACAGACTGACTGATCTCAGAGGGGTAAAGATGAGAGGGACTGGAAGAGATAACACAAAAATACATATGTATATATGCATAGCCCATGGACATAGACAATAATGTGCTGAAAGCTGGGGTGGGGCGGTGGCTGGGTGGAGGGGAGCAAAGGGAGGTAAAATAGTTGACATCTGTAATACTATCAACAATTTAAAAAAAGAAGGAATTGAATTAATAATCAATAGCCTTCCTAAACAAGAACTACCAGTCTCATAAATTGGCTCTGAAGCAGACACAGACCTTCACTATTTACTCTGACCAGCAGCCAGGTGTGCTCATTCAGGTTTATGATGATGAGTGCACCATAACCAAGGATAATAATCTACTTAGCAAGTTTGAACTCATAAACCTATCACCTGTACTCTGATGTTCCTCAGATTGAAGTCACTGTTCATATTGACACCAATGGCACCCTCAAAGTCTTTGCTGAGGATAAAAGTACAGGAAAAGAGAATACGGTTATCATCACTAACCACAAGAACCATTTGAGCAACGAAGACAGAGAACATATGGTCCAAGAAGCTGAGAATTACAAAGCTAAAGAGGAGAAGCAGTGGGACAAGGCATCTTTCAAAAATTCACTTAAATTATCTGCAATCAACATAAAAGCAACTGCTGAAGATGAGAAACTTCAAGTTAACCTCAATGATGAGGATAAACAGATGATTCTTAACAAATGTAATGAAATCATCAACTGGTTTCATAAGAATCAGACTGCAGAGAAGGAAAAATTTGAACATCAGCAGAAAGAGCTGGAGAAAGTCTGCAGCCCTATGATTCCCAAGCTGTCCCAGAGCAGGAGGTAAGCCAGGAGGAATGCCTGGGGCTTCCCTAGTGATGAGGCATCTCCATCTGGTGGTTGCTCTTCTGGGCCCACCAATGAAGAGCTTGATGAAGGCAACCTGAACTTGCATTTAGTTTTCATTCCATACAAAACATTGAAAGACCCAAATTTGTAGCAAATTCCATGGCAGTTTTAA